CCCCAAAACCCCAAAACCCCAAAACCCCAAAACCCCTTTTGTTGAACATCGATTGAAAGTTTAAGGGTTTTGTAGAATGAAGATAGGGGTTTAGATTTATCAATCAAAGATTTCTTCCCCATCTTCTTCGATAAAGTCTTCATAACTCTGCTCAAGAATTGCAAAGATTGTTCGGCAATCACAATCATCACCGATGAGAGCTTGGATTCCTTTGGAATTCGGGTCAGATGAATCCTGTCCTTTCTTTTTATTCTTTCTCTTCTTACGCTTCTTTGGTTTATCCTTGTGAACTTCTGACTCTTCCACAAGCTCTGATGTTTGTGTGTTTTCTATGAAATAGTTGAGTACATAGCCACACCCCCCAAATACTCTGAAAGGATGTCTCCCAACTTAAAGGTCTGAAGTAAACTTCAGAGCAGTGAAAAGTGGAACGTTCTGATGAAACAGCTAACTTACGGTCGCAGAAAGATTTAGCAGAATTGACTTGTCAAAGATCTTGATAATGTCTAATGGTCTGCTTAAGCAGACCATTAGAAATTTCGACTTTCTTTTTGTAAGTGTTCCTCTGCTCCTGTAATTTCCTGTACCCTTTACGGTAGAAGTCAGCTTCTCGCACCTTTTGGACTATTTTGGATGAGTTGTTGCCACTTACTGTAATTTTCCCGCATGAGTGTTTCCAGATCTAGAACAAAATTTTTCAGGATTGGATCAGTCTTGCATAACTTCTTGAGGTGATTTTTGGTTTCCTTCTTGTTACTTGGGTTTTTCTCATTTCTAAAGTGAGTCTATTTGTTTACTCTAATTGGAAGAGAAGGTCAGTGCTCATGAGGTCATCGTCACTCTCGCTACTGCTACTACTGCTACTGAATTGCGAGAATTCAGATGAATGCTTTCTATTAAGATTGCTGAAATAAGGCACCTTTTCTTCCTCTTGCTCAAGCCTTTCCTTAAGAGTTGGAGCAGCTTCATTAGGCTCATCAGAAGACTCTGAAATTTTCGGGCTTAGAGATTTTTCAGTAGAGTTATTAATTCCTGGAAAAATTCATGATAAATCGCCTTTGTTATTAAGCAACTTGATTAAACTTTGATCTATATTTTATAAATTAGACTAGGCAAGGTTCTTACTAATACTGTTTAGAAAAGAGTGCTCGAGCTTGAAGTCATTCTTAAGCCCATCAGCAATATCTTTCACCATTATTTTACCAGCTTCAAGCTCGTATTTAAAGGTATAAAATTTTGCTTCATCATAGTCTGGTCTCTTGAAAGCGATCCTTCTAGTTGTTTCAGGGTAGATAGTTTCTAACTGAGAAAGCCAAGTGTTTATCTCATTCTCAAGTATTTCCTGAGACTCTTCCATTAGAGGGGAAAGTGAGGTCATCCATAGAGAATCAATAACTGAGTCAGTAAATATTTTAGATAAAATGGTTAGAAGAAATGTGTTATTTAAGGATTTCCGTAAGTTCAACGCTACTGTTACTTTCTTCCCCTGTGCTTTCTCCTAAACTATTAAAAACAGTCTCATTGACCCTAAACACAACCCTACAAATCTCTTCATAACGAGTTTAGAGTATTCTAAACTTTTGTACTAAATACCTCGGCTCATGTAGGATTTTCCGAACCACCTTAAGCACAAAAATATGTGTTATTTATGTAGGAAGCTAGAGCTTTGAATCTTACACAGCGCTTCATGGTTGCAAGCGGAGACATCATTAACCTCGCTGATACTTCTCGCAATGATATAAGTCTGCGGCTCCATGTTTAAAAATTATTAGAATATTACATGTCTTACTCCTTTGGGGTTTTGGGGTTTTGGGGTTTTGGGGTTTTGGGG